ATGTTATCAAATATATTTTTCCAACTTTCCTTTAATTTATTTTTCTACATTGAACAATTTAAATGTCAATATTTTAAATATTATTTTTTAATTATAGGTAAGATTTTTATAAGTTTTTTTTTATATCATCAAATATATTTTTCCAACTTTCCTTTAATTTATTTTTCTACATTGAACAATTTAAATGTCAATATTTTAAATATTATTTTTTAATTATAGGTAGGTAAGATTTTTATAAGTTTTTTTTTATGTCATCAAATATATTTTTCCAACTTTCCTTTAATTTAGTTTTCTACATTGAACAATTTAAACACATAACTGCAATGTAAACAATGGTTCGCGTAGTTTTACAAATTTTTGATATTTTCTACATTTTTCAAACCCTAATAGTCGTACTATTTTGGTTATTTGTCACTGAAAGCGAGGTTATTCACTGGAAGCTATCGCGTGATGAAACACGGGCATTCAGTTCTGCGAATTAGCGACGCTATATTACTCAATCCTTTTTTGACGCTGTTCGCTGAGCACTGACATCACTGGCAAAACGTTGACGATAATTACCAATAAAATGATCGATTGCCGATGTTATATCGACGACCCATAGTTCAATTTTCGAACGGGATTTCACTACCATAGAAACACACGGGGCGGTGAGGAGAGATCGGCGACGTGCGCAACCGTTCGTATGAACCGGATATTGTTCGTAGCGGGGCAAAACGATGCCGCCCGCGTATAGAGGGTTTTTTGTGACGCGCAAAAAACAATGACTGCACTCGAATTAATTCTGTTAGAATTGATACTCGGGCCCGGCACTGGGATCGCAATTTGCATGCGTTCACAACAATGAAATACAACGGCGCACGCGGGGCTGCAATACTATCGCGAGAAGAGGAAAAGGGGGGAAGAAATGGGAGGAGGGGAAAAACCAACAATCAGACTGAGCAGTGGCTCTCAAAACTCGTAATGTTCCCCATGCGCTGATAATTTTTTCAAAAAAAAGTCTTACGAATTGCGTAAACAAAAAAAAATGTAAAAAATGCTTAAAATGTAAAAAGAGATAATGAAGAGATAAGATATTATCGAAAAATGAATCTGTATCTAGATAGATTAATTATTTTTTAATGATTGATATGACGTGTTCAGTACGTAGAATCGTAAGTTCAAAATCATTAATTAATCCTTAAAGTATTAATTTTTCACTTTACATAACTTTATTCCAATGTTTCTTACTTTAATATTCCGGGAAAAAAGTGTTCCATATGCAATTATATATAATTATATATAATTACATATAAAATATATCTATATATATAACATTTTTTTCTCAGGATACTTTTTGATCAAGCATTTGAGTTGAAAATTTAAAAAATGGCAATGATTTAAAAACTATTGAAATTATCTATTTTTTTAATAGGTATAAATTATGCAATGGTTAAAATGCTAGTTAATTTCTATAAGAAATAAGAAAACATTCTATCTCATGAAATCATTCTGTATTATTTATATATTTTTTTAAAACGTGAGAAGAATCTATTATGCTACCAATTTTATCAATTAAAAATATTTTATCATTAAATATTATAAATATGCTTTCGAATTATGATATAATTCAAGTACAACGGCGGAGTCGTTTTCTGAAGCAAAGCAATTAATTTTTTGTGCTCCCAATCTGTCACGTTGATAAGAACGCTCGTTTTGCGTCAATCTTTGCATCATATTCCACAGATATTCATCGGTCTTATGTCTGATTTAATACAATATAATTTTTTAACTAGACTGGTTGCGAATCTAGTCGACAGTGATGCCAACAAAGACAATGCAATAAATGTGTTTTTGATTGGAATCTTTCACACAAAGATTTTATCTTTTTTTTTTTCAACAAGATGAGCCTACCAGAATATGCGTTTATTGTATGCAATTATTTTATTATCACATATACGTTATTTTCTTATCGTTCTCATAAAGTGCATAATAATCATAATGCTTGTGCAAATATCACGATGTTGGAATATCACAAGTGGACATATCGCAGCAAAATACATAACTGCAGAAAAGTTGTTTGCGATTTATATTTAAACAATTTTTTAATTGTACCCTTATCTTGCGAATTTTTACAAGCGACAAGCAAAGCTAACAAAGCGAGACGCATATATGTACATACGATGTTTCAGTCGAATAATCTATAAGAAAATAACGAATAATTCTTTTTATAAACTCTTTTATAAATTATGTTGAATGAGACAAAAGAAAGATCGCGAGTTGCATAAAATGGCAGAAACAATTATCGAAGGAATTTCCCTACGCCATATTGTTTTCAAGTTATCTTTGATAGTTTTTCCTTCTTACTTGACTAATGCCTTGCAGGCATACATTAACATTTAAAATTTTCTTCATACAAGTTCTTTATTGCATGATGCACGAGCAAACCGCATATATGTTAAGAACTTTCCACTCAATGGTGATTAATATTTTCAAACGAAACATCATTATGCTATACATATATTTCATTCGTGATAATAATTGTAAATACTTAATGTTATTGTATAATTTATCTCGTTAAGTATTTTTCTTATCAAACGTTATTTTTTTATGCTCATTTTTCTTCAGATTTTTCAATTCCAAGTTCCAATCCACTTAATTTATATATTGATTTATAATGAAGATATACGCGTTATAAATTATTTTTAAATTAATATTGTTTATCTAACGTGCTTATAGCGCACGATGTCGTTAATTTATTTTTGCGGCGCATCTTTTATTATCGTATAAAAGATATACGATAAAATGAAAATACGCCACGTACTGTTAACAATTGTCAATTATAATACAGGAAAATGCTCAAAGAGGAATGTCATTGCCGGCTAAATTTAAATCGTTCGAGCGCGATAGTCGGACGTTGCACCCGTTGCGTAAGTACAATAACACACACAATCCGTCGACTTCGATTTCGGCAGATATTTTCGTTCGTGCATCAAAGTTAGAATGTGATCGCAATACTATTATTTTCATACGTATGAAACAAGATATATTTTTTAAACGTATATATTACAATGATACAAAATTTATAAATATTCGTAGCTTCAATCTTGTATAATTTTATGTGCAATAATTTTATTAATATTCACGATATCGATGTAAGATAAATAAAACAGTCACAGAAATTCATTAATTTTTTTCAATGTTAAATAAAGTACGATAATTAAAGTGTTCGATAATTATTATACTGATCATTGAAATTAATTTCTTTTCTCTTTTTCATTTTCTATTCAAACAATTCGTACAGTTATTTTTTAAAGTTTCCAGAATTTTTAATATGGAAAAAAAATAGCGCTTCGTAGAATTCGTATAAAATCCTATATTTCGATCATTATTTCGTCACTTTTTTATTTCTTGATTCTTACAGATTTAAAATTATCTTTCAAACGTACGTTACGTTTGCCGTTCTTTTTTTCTTCATAAAATATAAATTCTTAAATAAAAGCACTTCAAAGAGCAATTAAATGTACATTTGCGCAAATGAATATATACTTGAATAATACCAAACGAGCCTCACGAGAAGCATGTGGTCGCCCGCAAAAGGCTTACGTCTCTATGTGTGTATGCAACAGAAATCGTCGACCACAACCGCCGTCGCGGCCACAGTTAAGACGCGAGCGGTGCCATATGCAAATAGTTGCATTGTCTTGACCTGAAGTGGCGTGATCTCAATCGGTTTATTGTGCTTTCACCGGCAGCTATGAGAGAGCATAACGTCTAAAATTACAGCTCGCACATTTGTATCGGCATTTGTTCGTGAAAACGCGAGCAATTTTTCATTAAAAGTTTCCATACATTCAGGAAAATTCCATCGAATAAATTAAAAATTAATTGAAAGTGTGCGCAGATTATACAGCTTCAACTCGAAATTATCTGTATGTCAAAATATTGCTCAATTGCTTTTAGTTATTTAAATTTTTTGGAGAAGAAAATACAAAAAATATAAATGTAATAATAAAAAATAAAATATAACACGGTAAAAAATAATTTTGCACATTTAAAAACAAGTTTGCACTATTTTGTTCGATGTACATCAAACATATACAAGTCTTGTCTTCTAATTCTTATTATTTTTATTCTTTTTTTAGAGTTTTAATTTTTTAAAGTTCTATTTTGATCTTTTCTCAATGTATTTATTGTATTATTACTTGCGTGTATATAGGAATATGTGACGTAGATGTTATGCGAATACAGTAAGTTCGGGTTTGTTTGTTATAAATGATCAGTCATTTTTAATTCGATGTTACGATTACTACGTAACCTACGTATTCATACACAGATATCTATTTAATGAATCTAGAAATATATTCTATGAATCTAGTATTTATATATTTTCTATAGGTATAGGCCGTTTTAGATCAACAATAGCATAACGCACGCTCTTTATACTAATTACTTAATTGCATTATCGAATTGTATAATTGTATACAAGATGTAGAATAAAGTAATAATATGATAGATATTAAATATTTAAAAGAAATATTTAATAAATATTAATAAGAGTACAGTTCTGAGAATAAATAATTTTACATTAATTGTACATATATATATATATAATCGATATATTCGAGGAAAAATTATTCACTCCTCACTTCTTTCGACAAATAAAACGCCTAAGCGATTTTTATTAATAGATTGAACTCGATATATGCCAACGAAGCAACATCTGTATAATCACAAATTATCTACTTCTTCAATCCGATACGCATTCGCTCGCAATGCAATGATTCTGCATATAGCGAACATTACGCAAGCGACCAAAGCGAATACCCAAGATTCGACGCAGAAGTCACGTTTTTATAACGTTCCCTTGTCGCGTCCCGCTGACCCCGCGCTCAAGCTCGTGCACGTCGATAATTAATTAATACGTGTTACGCAACGCGTGGGCGGTGCCCACGCTCGTTGCTCGATGACGCTCGACTATCCATTGAATTAGTAGAATTTCGAAGCGCGCGTTGTTGCCCTGTTGATGGCGGCGGCGCGGCGGCGCGGCGGCGCGGCGGCGTCGCGTTGGTCGTCTTTCAATCGCGCGCGCAAATCCACATCCGCGACACGCAATCAGCGGCGCCGCGTGAGCTCGAGATATGTTCGTACGTTCGTGCGCTCGGTCGATCGCTCGGGCTCGGGTGCCGATCCTGATGCATTGTTCTTGCACGTGGCGAATTAGTCTCACGGACGGGGTCGAGTAGACACGACAGACGGTGTGTTAATTAAAACGATACCCCCCGTCGGCACGCGCGAGAATTTAAATTTCGCACATATGTCAAACCTGTGCTCCACTACCCGTACACCACTCATATTCCCTTACATATCGCACATTTTTTTGCTTTGCGTAAATTAATGTACTCTTAAATCTCATATTATGATCAGACTCTGATCTTTTCACAGCAGAACAAGTGGAAGTTGTACAATCTATCAAATGGAATGTTTCAAGCAGAACACACGAGTCATCGTGACATAAAATTTTTAAATTACAATAATTAATAAAAATCATTTTTCAATCAGCAACTTATCGTGACTAATGAAATTGTTGTTCTGCTTGGGCGTGTTCTTGAAATCTGGCACTGTTTATCATTCCTTTCTTTAGCTTCTAGTATTTAACGTATATATATATAATATATATGTATACATATATGTATGTATATATATGTATATATATAAAATTTACCGTTTATTTAATTCTCTATTTATATACGAAGCGTTTAAATTCGCAGAGAAAACGTAAAATTTGCACGCGAATAAAAAAGACAAATCGAGGCAAGGAATTAATAGAAGTTTAAAAGTATTCTCGATCTCCGATCTCGGACTCCTATGTTTCACGTCCTGTGACGATGTGTCTTCCTACAGAAATCCCGTCGTACAAATGCCGTCGTACGGTGCTCGTAAAGACGTCAAGTCTACCCTCTCTTCGATCAACGTCGCACGGCACGTTCGAGCACGTTGAGGAGCCAGCATACGGCGGCGACGACGACGTTCGTCACGACGAGTCAGCACGTTTTGTAGGAGGGCTTCGTGGACGGGTCTTGGTGTTCAGTATGCAAGCTCAGTGGTGGCCGCATCCGGTAGGTATGCACTCGCGCGCGCAAGCTCGGAAACTCACGTTGCATTATGTATCCGTCTGTCGATACCGGGCACCACGCGTCAGCGCGATGATAAGAATAGAATAATAGAATTTTCTATGAACCTCGCCTGTCGCCGGGGCGGTGTTGGGGAGAGAAAATATCCGTGGTACACTCTCTCTCTCTCTCTCTCTCTCTCTCTCTTCTCTTCTCTTTCTCTGTCGGCTCGCTGACGAACGGCAAGCCGCGTTCACCCGCTGCGTCTTATGTGTATCTCGTTGGATAAATCTCGCTTCGTACGCTTTTCTTGTCGATATCGACGCTGAAATGCCGTTAAAGTGCCACCGCGTCAATGCTCCGTCGAAAAAAGAGTTAGTCGTGTTCTATCTTCTTGCACGACGCAGAAATACGCCGCTTCCTTAGGAAATGAGAGGATCGTGTGCGGAATGGAAAGTTCCTTCTCAAAAGAAGGTAGAAATAATTCTTTATAAACAGAAATATCAAATATTTATCTAAATTGCATAATCGTACATTGAGAAAAAAAATAGTCAAATTTTAATATAATTTAAATATTTAGTTCAATACTGCCAACTAAACATTTACTTACCATAAATAAATATTTGTTCATTAAAAAGAATGATTGTTAAATCAAATTAATGTTTCTAAAAGTTTTAAATAATAATTAAAGAAAGTTTTCAATAATAATTATAGAAAGAAAATAGAAAAAATATTTAAAATGTTAATAATTAGTTTCAAATGTAATAATCGTTATTACATTTCGTCGTAATTGTTGAGTAAAATGTCGGAGAATCTCAAGATCCTCATAAATTGAACGTTTGGAAATAATATAATTTATATATCGTTCCTAATTTTAAATAACAAGTGCTTAACCAATTACAAAATTTTCTCAAGCAATTAAAGATTTGATATTTTGGAATAAAGATCTCACTGAACATGATTGCTACATTTTAAGGGTTCTGCTGGAAATCAATGGCTTTCCTGCCGGAGATTCCACTATATATACTGCCGAAATTATAACTTGCTCTGTGCTCTCTAAAAAAAATTATCAGATCTGGCTCTTCTCTAGTCAGAGATTTCTTTTCGAAACTGTAAAATTATTCTAAAAAATTCAAAATTTATAACGTTAGTCGAAGATTTTCCATCTGCCGGAGAGCCGAAATTTTCAATTGAAAATCCAAAAAGTGATAATTGTGATCTCACATCAATTTTAGCAGGCCGTTATTATTTTTAGTTACCTTCCCGGCCATATCAAGATCTGTGAAACCTTGCAACTTTGTCACGCCATATCTCTCAACTGAATACATATTTTTTAGCTCAAAACGTGTGAAATTTATACCTCGAAGTCAGACAAAGACAGAAAAATATGAATCAAATAAGTAATATTTTATTTTCAATTAATTACAATGCTTCAAAAAAATTTTATTGGAAAAATTCGCAAAAAATAATTACTTTCGATAAAAAATTCTCAAATTTTTAAATTTAATGTTCAAGAAAAAATCCGTAGAATTTTTTTAGTTGACTCTTTGGACTAATAAAAAAAAAATAGTATGATATAAATCGCTCAAAAAAGTATAATTATCTGAACTGTCGCGAGATATTTTAAAAAAAATCTACATATTATAAGTTTATAATTAATAAATAAAATTTTATTATTTAAACAATATAAAATGATAGATAAAGGATTGTATATACTCTTGCAGGCCTATCATATCTATATAGTTAATGTTTTCCTTCAGCCTCAATCCGGATCTTCAAATTATACTATAAAAAAGTTACAGCAATGTAAAAAATCGCATAAGATACGTTGGATCCATGAGTAAGGTTAAAATATTTGCTAAGGTCAAAATATCGTGATACTACATATTATAAACAAAAATCGTAGTCTTTGAGAAATCTCGTAAATATAGAAAACCTAGCTTGTATCATTTCTCTTTAGGTACAATATGCAAGAAATGGAGTGGGGTTATGCACATTTCGGCGTGGCTATCTTTTTGTCTAATCGCATTTCTGTGCTCGCTTTCGGAGAACGAGATGCCGACGTCGACATCGCCATCGCGTCGTACAACGCGACGGTATCTCGACCTCGTCGAAATAAATTGCGCGAGATAAGTTTCGCTCCCATATTTGCGTGCTACTGGGCTATACCATCTTAATGCTGCCGCGATTCTACGGATGGTAATTGTCGGCCAATTACCGTGGCGCTGACGTATTTAGTCGCATGCGAAAAGAGCCGTCCATTGTTCGCTCCCCGTCTCGGTACCCGCGTTGCTAATTATGTATAATGTTCGCCGGGAAATCGCGGGCGATACATCCGCGAACGTGCGCCTCGTCCTATTGTTTACGCGATCGACGCCTTTCCCTAGATGAAACTGTAAAATTCACCGGAAAATCTAGGAAACAGCCGCTCGTTAAAAGTCAATTTTCTACGTGATCGTCCGTAACTAGTAACGTAATATACATACATCAACGTAATAATGTGAGTTTCCTTTCATGAGGTTCGATGTATTAACTCTTCATATTTTATTTAATATATATACAAGATAATATAAAATATAGCTTGTACTAAAAATGCTAAATAATTGTAAGAAAAAAGCTATTCAATTAATATAAAGTAAAAAGTGCTAAATTAATATTCTCCTTTCGATTAAATTAAAATTAAGTCCTCGGTGTTCTAATGGCTTAGGACGCTCGTACGAAATACAAGAAATCCGGATTCAAGTTTTTAACTTCCACGTGTCAAAATGTAAATCAATTTATTTATGTGATTCAAAGTCCATATTATATAACGTACGCGCTTAGTAAATAATAAACTAAATTTTAGTCCAATTTAATATATTTTCTTTAGGAGGGAATTAATAATGTTTTCAGATTGATTTGTGTTGAAAGTTCGAAAGTTATCGGCGCTTAATCTCATCTGAAATAAAATTATTCATTTAAAATAAATATGTATTGTATTATTAGAAACATCTAACTTTGACTGTGATAAACTGGCGTTCTTCTTCGTATTTGATCGATATATTTTCTTGAATTAAATTGTTTAACTTCATTGTTTTAATTAAATTAACAACTTATTGAGTAGTGACAAAACTTATACAAATGATTAAAACTAATTCAAATTGAGTATAATTTATACGTTATGAACTTAGCAGTCTATTTTGAAAGCGACATTGATGAATTTACATTTTCGGTTTTCAGCTACAACCTGTGAGTGCAAAAAGTATTCGTACAGAGAAAATATTTTTTTTGAAAGTAAATATTATCCAGTGAGAAATGAGTCATCGAATTGATGTCGAATCAATATAAATACGATGATTTCAACATCAATTTGACGTCAATTCGACGTTTAATTGACGATCATTTCTTGTTGGATAATTAACAATTTATAAAGAATAAAATATACTGTATGTTTCTTAAAATTATATATGTCAAAAAAATGTGTATTAATTATACAAAATATATCATCTGAAAAATAAACGAAAATTAAAAATTGTATTGTTTGAATGCTCAAAAAGTAAATATTCATACAGACAAGAAATTCAGCTTATAAAATCAGGAATATATGCGAAGCCTAAATAGGAAATATTTTTCGCAATAAATTCATTAAGTTAATTAAATTCATTTAGTCAACATATTATTTATATAATATGATGCTTGATTGTAGCATCAAATTATAAAAAATTGCTTGTCAATTTAATTCACGATTACTAGAGTAGTTTTAATTGCGTTTATAATCCGAAAAAATAATTCGTCACGCATTTCAAAAAGACTACAAATATGGTATATATGCAAGTACATATATAGTATAAATTAGTAATTCAAGATTGAATTATTTAAAGCAATGAACATCTAGCTTCGAACATATAATAGACATTTTAAATTTCTAGTATCAATTGAAATGTACAAGTTATAACAAAAACTGATAGATGTAACCTGATAAGATAAGAATCTGCATTCATATAATGTAATCGATAGCGACGGCTATGACATGTAATTTATTCTTGTACGAAGATTTCCGTGTTTATTTATTATATTATCCGTACTATCATCGTATTAATTAACGTGCGTGTTATTATAAATTTTTTACTCGTCGTCTTTTTATATTTATTTGCCATATTTTTCACGATTTCCGTGTTCTCACTCAGAGAAAAATGTCGTTCAGTAACTATAAATTTATAGTGAAATAACGTCTCAACTATATACACATTATTAAATTCTAATAAGAATACTAGATCGAGTAAACTAAAAGGATATACTAATATTAACCATATAATGAATTACAAATTTAATTTAATATTACTATACAAATTTAATATTACTGTATTTTCTTAGTTCTTAATGTATTTATTGTTATTAAAGCTTTATAATACATAGTTACAAATTTATGTATGCATTTCTTATTTATTTTTGTCTTGCAAGTTCGAAACCAACGCTGCGCCTTTTATTGCAACCGCGCATTGCTCGTGCTGAGCGACTTTAGAGAAAAGGTTTTTAATGTATTCCTTAAAGTTTCCTCAACATTGATTAATTAATTACGTAATATAGAGTGCTTTATTAAAAAAAAGTTTTTTATTTTATTATTAAAAAAAAATTTTAACATTCAGCACTACTTTAGTTTCTATTACTTTGTAAAACTAATTACGGGTACTTCAATTGCAAAAGTTGCCAAATTTATAGTATGCCAGAACTATTTCATTTTCTCTCAGTATTCTTCCTTCATCGACGGTCCAAGCATTCTAACATAAATTATGCCTGTCTGACCTTTAATTTAATTCTCTAATCAATGACTCGACTCTCGCTGAGCCGCGCTAAAACACTATAACACTTTTGTGAACACCTGTAGCGCTTCTAGTTAAGTAAATCTACGATTACCTGTTATTAACAGGTTGCGCGAATAAAGTAGATACAATATAGACAACATTGTCTTGCTCTGTGGCATAATTAACTCACGGTATTAATTAACGGCGATGGTACGCCATCGCGGCTTATCCTTGTCCATCCAGTCGCACTAGCAGGCTAATTCTTACGTGTCTTTCGTTTTTACATGACTCGTGTCACGAAGATGTGTGTAACAATTATACACCTGCGTTTGCATTGTACTTCTTATCTTGATAATTTCATTGTTTTCCACGATTATCATCAAATATGATTTTGGAACAACAAATTAAATGTGACGATTAAAATAATTTCCGTTATGTCGCGAAAAAAATTAATATATTTATCTATTAACATATCTTTTATTAATGTGTAATTACTTTAAATTGGATGTTGATTTCAAATAACCAAGTTTTTATTTTAGTTTATATAAAAAATTATTTTAACTGATATAGATTACGTATTATATATATATATATTTTTTTTTTCTAGAACGACATTAAAAATAAAATTTAATATAAGAAAATTCAATGAGTTTGTTACTTATATAATTTTTATCTAGCATTTTTAATCTATAATACATATTTTGATTCTAATGTTGAGATAATTAACAAAAGTGAGAAACCATACAAATTATAACTGACACACCAATCTTTGAAAAATATATTTAATTAGCAGTAACGAATCAACATTCTTTACAGAAATTCATGTTTCTTTTAGCCAAATATTGACTGTAATATTTTTCTTATGAGCGTATGATAGTAAAAGTATCCGATATTTGTCGGCGCAAGAGAGGAGGAACTCAATAGTATAATATATAAGATTTTAAAGTATTACGAAAAACTCTGACCGCAGGCCACATACCAACAGTTGGCAAAACACGCCTCGAGAAAGAGACAGAAAGAAAAAAAAAAGAGAGAACAGAAATAGAGAGAGAGAGAGAGAGAGAAAGAGAGAAGAGAGATAGAGCAAGAGGTCAGTGTGGAGTGCGTGTGAGAAGAGAAGAGAAGAGGAGAGAAAAGAGAGCAAAAGAGAGCTCGATCGCAGGCTGCAGATGCTGGCGATAGCGCGTATAAAAGATGTATCTACATTTAGTTCGGACAGGCACCACTTTATTCGCTCGCCGAGCGCTAACAAGTGTTTTCCATCGGCTGAAGCGGTGCTTTAAAGATCCGCCGAGTGCAACCGGTCTGCCACGAAGTCGCGCTACTTGCTGGTAGCTCGTTTGGAATTGCGGTAAATCTCGCCGCGCGCGAACAACGCGCAACTGTCAATCGGCGAAAGCCAAGTTTTGATTTACTTCACGCGCACATCGTCGTACATCCGTTGGCGTGAGCAACCGGATGTTCTCCATGACTGGTGTGCTTTTTCATCCACGCCATCGTATACGATCCGGTAATGTAGTATTCGCTCTGCATATCACTATCTTTAAAATATCTAGGAAGACTTCAATAATAAGTGATAAAAAGTTTCCTGTTACAATTCAATTTTATATTCGTATTCGCTGATAATATTAAATGGTAGCTATTTCAGTTATTTTGTATAAATCAAATGTGCAATATGTGTTTCACAAATAGCTCTATATATTTTCTAAAATAAACTGCTTACTATAATAATTTCCAAAAATATTTACTTAAAATTAATTTAATCTCGTCTATTGAGTAACATATTATTTACTAGATATTAAATGATTATACAACTATAACACAAAATTTGAATCTATGTTGAATCTATTGAAACCATTTAATGATGAATATTGAATTACATGTCGCATTTATGTATATTTGTACTAAATGAAATTCTAATGATTAGAATTATGTATCAAATATCCTGCTTTGTATCAAATGCAGTATCAAATGCCTTAACTTTATTCGTTTCGTATGGTTTTTGAATTAAATAATAAAAACAGTATAATGAAATAATGAAATCAAGGACTATAGAAATATAGATAGTATTTTATCTTTTACAGATGTTGAAATGCTAGAAATGTTCAACCTCACGAAGTCGAGAACTTCTGGCTTTGATGGAGGTTACAACATCGAACTTGGAGTTCTCGAGAATCACGATTCGGTGACGTGTGGCTATCCTCGGATACCACCGTGAACGAGTGCATATAAACGTAAAGTTTACCGTGGTAGGTCAATACATGTTGACTTAAGGATAGAAACGAACATTTATCCGCGGAAGTAGGCAACTACTTCTAACGGATAAAGTTGACCAGAGAAGTACAGTTGCAATAATCTTTCGGTTCATTGAACTTTTTCAGAAATGCACGCCTATTTCTAGCATCTGCCGTGTATTTACTATAACAGATTTATGAGTAAAACTATGGAAAAAATAAGATAGAATTACCAATATAATAGTTTAATATTAATATCATCATTTTTATCGTTTCATCATTTTTATTTCGTTAAAGTAATGACACGCTGTTTTTAATTGAACTTTAAAGATGATGATCTCGTTTGAGAACAATATATCCTATCCCTTCCCTTTCTCATGCATATTTAGAATAGAATAAATGTAACAAAGGATTTTATGTATCGCTATATATTTTGATAAGTGTGTATCCTCAGCTTCATATCTTTCGGGATATCGTTTCTCTTGTTGGAAAGTAGACACGACTTGGTAACATATGTTTAGTTTGCTACATCGTGATAATTCTGCACATGAGCATACCGAGCTAAAATACAATATATGACCGTAGAATCGGGGTGTGCTGGATTAAGGCAAGAACGAATCCGTGGAAGTGGTCTACCGCTTCCTGATAGCCCCGATAGTGCTTAATCGGTGGCTTTGTGAGAAGGTCTCGAGCGGTACAACAATTCGAGAGTAATTCTTCGGATCGTAAACAATCCCTTTTACCCTTTTCCTTGGCTGAGTCGATACTTTGAAGAATCTAGCTCGTTGAATCTCTCTGTGAGAAGTTCGATAACACTTGTGCAAATTGAAAGCGCGCTTTGGTACGACAAGTCAAATAAAATCGTCGCGCGACTTTGATATACCATATTTTCTCATATCGTAATAATTTTTAATTATATTACTCTTTGCATAAGTAGCCGTATATATTGCTTGACACATTGCACGTTGCAACGCATTGCACTTTTGAAATATACAGCGTACGAGATGGTTTCGTAATGAAATATTAACATCACGTACTTTAAAAAACATTGTTTATGTTGTTAATAAAATATTTCATCCTATTTAATTAAAAGATAAAAATGTATTGTACAAGAGAGATTACGCAAGACGCTTGAAATACTTGCTATTTGTAGGTACCAAAAGTATATATGAATGTTTATAATATTATTACATAATTTGAAATGTGCAATAGATTCGTATTAAAAAAATGGTTATGATCAGTTCATTATATATGTATATTGCCTTTACTTCAAAAGAAACATACATCACTCAAAAATTAAGTTTCCCAGAAAAGGAGAAAAATCAATTTTTAACCTGACAGAAAATTATAAATAATAAAATAATAGATTCTTAATATGATCAAATGTCAAACTCTTTAAAAAAATCATCCTTTTTTTGAGTTGTGACAATTTTCTTAAAACTATCTTTCTGTTTTAGTTATAACGTTTTAACGTTTTTTTTTCATGAAGTTACAATAATTCATTTTTGACAATTAATAGGATAATGTATACCTAATTCATTCATTGTAACAACTTGAAACATTTTTAAATTGTGTCACTTTTAAAGTAAGGAAGCCATATGTTACATATATTTAAGATTACACACACACACACACACACACACACACAAATATATAAAGTATAAAGATTAGAATCGGCTTTGTAAATACAATCTCAAGTCAGCCATAAAAATCTATATAAATAAATGCCGGACGCACACAAATAGGAATTAACTTAGTGTCTCCACGAGTACGGAAAGTTTTGCAACAAGTGGTATCGTAAATACAATGACCGTGTTTACGATGTCGCTGCCTCTATAACTCTGTCGCCGAATGGCTTACGCGCTGCGATCTCTTATTCCGCATTCATTCCAGTTTAATTTACGGTACGCCAGAGAGCCAAATCGCTGCGTGAATTATTTTTCGCGCCGATCGCAACCAACAATTTCCAACGAGAAAGAGAGAAAGAGAGAAAGTGAGAAAAGGAGAAAGAAAGAGAACTGCTCGATACGCCCTCTACGATCGGTCTCCGATGCATAAGTGATACTTATTACTAGCAAAAGGGGCAGGTCCCGTCATTTCTTCGATAACGAGTACCAACTTGAAGTCTTTACGGTGTCACACGGTCTTTAATGTCGTGGCATCACATCGGCAAGACGTGAATCGAGATAGCGCGACCGGTGTTTAATTAATGATAATAGCTTCGCCTAACAAGAACTTCGCCCGACGTTTTCTTTTCATTGTCTTTTCGTGATGCGACTCAACGTCGTTCAACGTTCTCTTCTCGCGTTTCTCCGTACCGGTACGCCCGCTATGGTTATGTTTCTCCTCGCGTACCTTATCCTTGTTCTGAGTAAGGGTCAAATCGACTTGTGGGCCGATCGCATCGCGGAACGTTCCGGTTGCTAGCAAACCTAACTGATCCCGATACCGCGCTACCGTGACTTATACCAGCGATATAGAGTTGTTCCTTGAATTTTTACCACGGGCTTCCTTTGTTGCAGTCTCAGTGGAATGTCGTTACCCGAGCTCGTGAGTCCGCGCGTGAATGATGCTGAACTTCTTATTATGCCGCTTCAAGCATCATAGCATGCTTCGTAAAGTAGTTACAAATCGGCATGATTTCATTCATATGCATAAAAAAAATGGAAAGACATTGTGCGTCCGTTTATTTTTTTAATTATTTGCTATCTGCTTTTAATTTATTGCTCTCTGATTCATATGTGTGCTCAGAGAGATAATATTAAAAAGCAATGCTTTATTTTTAGTCATTAAATTTGTTTATTAATTTGTATGATCGTCTCACTAAACAAGCCCTTATTCTAATACTTTTTCTATTTATGTCTAGTAATACAACTAATATTATAATATTAATTTGTTTATATTTTTGTTAAAATAAAAAATAGTTTTTAGTTGTGGCTTCAAGACTAAATCAAATATAAGTGAAAAGTAACACGTCTATCTGAGCTTTCGAGATTGTTGGTGCATAAATAATGTACTTGTAAGTTGCAATTAACTTTGTTGAGAAGTACATTCCAATTGTTTGCAAATTATACATTTTTCATCGCCTTATAAATACATTATTTACACTCCAATAATCGCGAAGGTCATATCTAGGCTAATATTAAATTTGTGGTTACATTAATATAATTTAATTCAAATTTTCTTTTTATACATTAGAATCCGCTATTCGTTATCTCTCACAATGAGTTCTCATGACATTTGACTGTAAATTGAAATACAGGAAATACCATATTTACTAAAGAATGCGTGGCAAATAAGACACTTAAAGAATGACCTTCGTCTGAGAAACGTGTCAGATCCGACGCATTCCTGGTGCGCGATCGGACCGTAGGAAAAAAAAAGTTTCAACCGCTGCGCCGTGGAATTAAAAAAGCAACATTCTAGACATATATCGGAGTGCCTCCCCCGTGTATTTCACTTTAACGGTGCGGGCTTCGTTAGAAGAGTCTCGCAGCTCTCGCCGAGTCCCACATTGTGGTCGACCAGTTCTCTAAGACTGGCCAATGTTGCAACTGCAAGGAACGCGGACCGCATGTGCACGCTAGTAACATAACGCGGCGCAACGTCGTACTCTCTCGTACTCTCTCGTAGATACGGTGGTGCTAATTGCAATTTATGTCTCATTGCAGTCGTCGTCGGTGCGCCGCGACAAAGGGAGTTGTGCCGCAGGCGGACGTTTCTACGTTTTAAAGCGTTTCAAGAGGGAACCGTGTCACCATCATTCGCAACAGAAAACACCACAGTTGCATCACGCTTCTCTCGTCGACGTCTTCGCGAATCGTACCTCTTTTATCAATCTGCGAGAGTTCAAAGTGCAGACATCGCTAACGACATAAAACACGTAATTAATATTTTTTTAAACATATATATATATATATAATTACACTTGTATTATATTATAAAAATGTCAATAAATTATCTCAAAGTAATAAAAAGTAATTTATTCGTTTGAAAATATTTTCTTAATTTATCACAGTGATATGTTAAAAATCATAGGAGTACCTAAATCAAGTACATAAATTTTGAGTACAAACAAAATATCTTTTTAGAGCATATTTAAAAAAATAATTTCTTAATTTCGTCAAATATAAATATTAATACAATAATTCGACTTGAAAATTGAATCGCGAAATTAAACGAATCGCAATGTTTTATTTTCTTGTCTTTTATCTGCCGCTTAATTCGCGATAATCTCTTAATTTTCAATTATTCATGCTTTGATATTGAAACAAATGACATCCTTGTTGTTCTCAAGTATCCTAACGGAGAGAAAGCGTGTAATGCTTGGGAGTATCTTGTGCAACACTCCGTGCATATACTAGCTAAAAAAAAAAATCTCTAAATTATACCATTATTTTCCTACCACCTACTACTCGAGTACCGTTATTCGGTACAAGATTGCCGTCATTGCGGAGTAACAGTAACGCCCGGTGCCTCCTTGAAAAATGCTTAATCGCTCGACAGTCGTGATTCGGAAAGGTGAGCAGAGGCGTGAACAAGGTGCAGGCACCGATCGTTTAAAATTCAATGATACTTCGGCACGCTATCGACATGCACGCTTCATATCGCGCCTCTAATCGACTTGTTCTATTCCTCTTCAACTCATAGACGTACGATACGCTGCACAATACGCTGCACAATAGCATGAAAACACGTATATAAATCGCGTATTATGTGTCATATTTTACATACTCGCCGATAAATAGGTATAGTAAATACGTTTCGCGCTACCCTTTCCTTTAGACTTTCCTTTCGCTCACTGTTACAATTGTTACTGATAAATGACACTTCGCCGCATTGCGTCAATGTCATTTCTCGTGATCAATTGACATTGTAACTTTCTCAAGATACAAAGAAAAAAAAATTTTTTTTTTAATATCATTTTCTTCTTTAACAAATAAAATTTTATAATTATTGATAAAAAATAAAAGAATGTACTGCTATATTATTATATATAGTATGCATTAATTAAAAAAAAATTTATATTTTATAAATTTTTATTATGCATGTTTTATGAAATACTATAAGTATTGTCAACGTTTAAATATATGTTGACTTTTTTTTTGTTAATAACCAATGTAAGTTATTCTGTAAGTTATCACCGGAAAAAAAAACGATATCATTAATTTTATTATGTCATATATAACAAATATTTTGCCAAATCAAAAATATATGTGTCCTTTTAAGAAGAGTAATATAAATAGATAAAATGAAACGCTATTTAATTTTATCAATAAATAAAGTCTCGCCTTTTCGTAATACAAATCCGATCGTAGACTTCTTATTAAATTCGCGGCGAATTGAATTTTCCCGTTAGCCTCGTGTTTCTCGTAGGCGCCGTAGAAAACTTCGTCCTCTATAAAGCCCTTGAGTTTTCCTCCGCAAAAGAAAGTTCGACAACGTCTCGCTTCAGCGCTGAACTTGGTAATAAAATAATTATTTTCAAACGACCTCAAACTTCGATCACCATGACCTATTCTTTCTTCAAATTCGATGATATTATCAAATATAAAGGTAAAAATATGTATGCAATAATTCTTTAAAATCATAACAACAGGACGTAATCGTATAAAAAGGTAGAATTTAAATAGATTCAAAAATTTCTACTGTGAGTTATTATTATGTTATTTGTTATTTTGTATTTGTTTTATTTCCCATCCACTCTCTTACCATTTATAGTATTTTCGGGATATTTAAATTTTGGCAAATATAAATAAAGTATATTTTATGCCACAATTTAAATTATCAAATACAACAAAAAGAAAAGGTAAAACTCTCCTCTTTTTAAACAAGTGTGATACATTAATGACGTAACATTTTTATCAATATCGGGGAAACGTATCTTTAGAGAGTACTATGAAATTTTCACTTTTGGCATCCGTCCAGAGGCTGGATCGGTCGAGAAGAGCCGCACGTGTACGCAGGCATGCATGGCGCAGCTGGTTTGTACGCAAGCTTGCACTGTAGTCAGAGCATATTTATGGATTAGCATACAATGGTGGTGTTTATTAAAGATTCCTCGAAGGTTTCCACCTTTGACGCCGCCTCCGCGCTTCTTCACCGTTCTTGAGAAGCATGATGCCCTCCTCTCGGAAGCTTTGCGTGTCTTCTCGAAACAATCTGATCACGAGAGTAATTTACATTTGATTTAGGTTATTCAGTTCACTTTGATCTCATTATCACGCGCAAAAATATATTTTCAAGTTACAATACATCGTTATTTAATCTACATATTTTTTTCTACCGTTGTTTACATATATGAGTCATAACTATTGCTAAAAATATTCCAATAATATGCAAAATAAATTTGCACACATTAATTTCATAAATGCAGATACATTAACAGTTAATGATGCAGCACGAATTGCATAGTACGAATTATAATGTTGAAAGTCTTCATTTTTTAGTATGAGAATAAACAGCTTTTATTGGATGTTCCTTAAATTTGAATTGCATTTTTGTATTATTTTTTTCCGCATAGTACTTAATTCAAACTGTTAACTCGCAATCTCTCTAATTTCATTGCAAATAGAAAGAATACCATCCACTGGAATGCAAGAGAAAAAATGTTTTTATAGCAAAGTTGACAGCTTCGCTAGACCGAGAATCCGTTATGCATTATTCGACTCGTAGTTTTCCTCGAATCGACACTTAGCCCGAAGAACGGCATAAAGAAAGCCGACTTCATCGGAAACGGCCTGTAAGAAGGTACGGTACAATGTTCCGAGACGAGATCCTGAAGAAAAGGGAACCTATCGGGCCAACCAGCCGTCTCAAATGCTCGTTTTGGTCAGCGGAGGTTCATTCTCATGCAACTTTAGCCACGAGACTTACTTGGAAGCGTGTTGTACGTGTGACCATGTTCTACTAGAAGTAGAAGTTCTCACACAAAGCAAAGGCAACACTGAACACAACTCCTTTCGTCCCTTCTCAGCACGATCCTGTCTTTATTTAATTTTCTTTTTACGATGCTACAATATCCAATTGAAATCAGCTTTTTTTTCATGATATTAAAGAAAAGGAAAATAATTTACTTGCGTGTAACATAATTGTAAGTATAAAGAAGTTATCGTTAGATAATTATTAGCATGATTTTGATTGGGATAACATTAAAATTTTAGATACAGAACAATCATTGATGAAACGAAGAATTTCAGAAATGATACACATTAAAAACCAAATAAGTGGGATCAATAAACAAAGTGATACTGAAGGTTTGCCTGATGTTTATCTTCCTCTTCTAAAGAAAGATTTCTCTCGCACTTAATAAATAATTCTAGAACTTTCTAAACTATTTGACTCATGGATATAAATAGCGGAAAAATATGTGATACGACCAATAACAACACATAGTGTCACGACAAATTTCTATCTGTCTGAAATGAGTATACTTGTAATTCATCGATTATTTTGCTGTAAAACAGGTAATGTTTCCTTTGTTTTATACTCCGTTTTAAAAGATATTAATAATAAAATAAATTATTGTAAATTAGAATCTGGAAATTCTCGTTCTACACTTTTTACTACATGACTTCTGACGTTCTAACATTATTATATGACGCAGCGTCGCTTTGATGCAAACACAATCTTTACAATTATAACACACGAGGGTTGAATTTGATTCCAACTTAATGTAACTCTGCGTCTTAAGAATATTATTAATTTTACTGAAGATGGCCAGATTGTGGCCGAAACGTTTAATGTTTTTATTGTAATTCGTAATGCAAGAATAATTAAATATCACTAACTACATCTTGTGCTGTGGTTCTTTATGCTCTTTCTTTTCATATTTTTATAATTATTAGTGTTATGTAAGCAGAAATATCCTATATACATACATATATCTAATAGCAAAATAGCAAAAATTTCCATAAGAAAAATCTGTAAATTTTTATATGACTTTCAATTGATTTTCTGGCCTCCTATAAAAAAAAATTCATTATTTTACATCGTCAATTTTCGGAGCTTTCCCTTCTTTACTTCTTAACCACCAATCATTATTTCTTAAACTATGACGCGTCGTAAATTCATTGCTGACAGCAAAAGCTATCTCTTGGATATAGTATACATCATATATAGCTTACATAACGTTTCTATGAAGCATATATTTATAGCTAAGCAGTATATAGAACTAGCTGCTAGATATTACGAACTAATTATAAACTTATGGTACTACATCGTAACTTTCTATCCTCTTATTTGCTATCAAACAGCAATTATCAAAATTTTATCTTTGTTATTATTGTTTATTTTAACATTTTCTATAAAATCTTTCGAATAAGTCGGATTCTTTCCATTTCGAGTTATTTAGTTTCCAAGTCCTTAAGAAGACTGAGAGAGCACAGGATATAATTAATGGTACAAAATCAAAGTTTTCAATAAGAAGATAAGCGAGTCTGTATAAGAAGCGATCAAACGATCATCTGCTCGGCTAATAAGGACTGAGATTTTCTTCCACGCGCGGTCTACGCCTCTTTCTCATGACATTAGGGTCGCCCGGGAACCATAAGAGCGACGCCAAAGTGGGACGTTGATAGATAGTTCCTCGACATTCGTGTTCCGCGTCGACCACGGTCGGACGTAGAGCGCCGCGATCACCCATTAATTATTACATAAATACGTATAGATTAATAATTATACGCATTAATAACGGCTTTCATGGGTACAAGAGGACGCATAGGTAGCCGCATGACGCCG